TGCCTCACCTCCCTAATCTATAGGCTGCCCCCCACATGCCTCACTTCCCTAATCTATAGGCTGCCCCCCCACATGCCACACTTCCCTAATCTATAGGCTGCCCCCCATAATTAATATTTTAGTCCAATGTAGAACCGCAGGTTTTATATAAGTTCTACACTGGAGATCCCTGATATGACAAGTGGGCTGTCCTTTTTATTAAACCTGTCAAACACAAAGCAGGAGATTGTACAAAGGGTTTGGAGGAAGCCATGAGTTAGTATAATTTGAGGTTTAAAGGACCACTATAGTGCCAGGAAAAAAAAACTCGTTTTCCTGGCACTATAGTATTTATAGGTCCTCTCCACCCTCATGGCCCCCCTCCCGCCGGGCTGAAGGGGGAGGAAGGGGTTAAAATCTTACCTCTCTCCTCCTCCTTCGGACGTCATCGGCTAATTGTGCATGCGCGGCAACAGCTGCACGCGCATTCAGTCAGTCCATAGGAAAGCATTCTCAATGCTTTCCAATGGACGCTGGCATCTCCTCACTGTGAAAATCACAGTGAGAAATGCGGAAGCGCCTCTAGCGGCTGTCAATGAGACAGCCACTAGTGGCTGGATTAACCCATATGTAAACATAGCAGTTTCTCTGAAACTGCTATGTTTACAGCAGGCAGGGTTAACCCTAGATGGACCTGGCACCCAGACCACTTCAATGAGCTGAAGTGGTCTGGGTGCCTATAGTGGTCCTTTAATGTGTGTCCTTAGTCAAAGAGTTATAAATAAGGGCTTGGGAGCTTGAAACAATCAAAGGAACACTCCAAACATTATAACCTCTACAGCCTGCTGTAGTAGTCATGGCGCCAGGAATTCCATGGCTCTCTCCCAGTGTAATTTGGCAAACAGTTTTATTACTTACCTGGGTGTATCGAGCACCTGTGCTGCATTTGGTCTTCAATAGGAGAAGCCAGATGTCTTCACAGAGCTAAAGAATGGTAGATACCGGTCTGCGCTTGTTGGCTGAGTGTGCACTTCGGACACTATAACCTGTAGTGGTTATGGCATTTGGAATGTTCCGTTAAGGTGTTGGGTCTGCTACTTTTTTTTGTTCAGCTGTACCTAATGTTAAAATACAGTTAATGAAGGTAATAGAATTTATCTCTTTGCCCCTGGAATAGAATACTGCACTCCACGTACTCTCTGTTAACATACTGGAAGATTTTTTTCAGAGCAAGAACTTTTCAGATGGACCACACACTGGTAAGCTTTTCCTAATTTCTATTATGTTGTTCTCGGCTAAATATTTTAGAGCATAATTTTGAAAGCAGGTGTTTTTAATGCACATTGTTTTAATTTAATGCAACTTGCAAATGTTTTATGATTTTAGTGTAATTAACTAACTTTTTAGACCGTTGAAATTCCAAATTTCAGTCATGAAAATTCTCCAATTCATTTTTTTTCCGGTTCAGTATTTTGGTCTAAAATTCCTTTGCAATACTCCAAAAATTCCCTGTTTAGTGAATGACCCTGTTTGTGTGACCTATGAACCTCACAGGGCATGTTGGCAGAACCCTTCGACCGGTGAAACTGCAGGGACGTTTTTCATAATCGCCCCACTAAAAGCTTAAATAACATTTATTTGGGTTAAGCAAAAGAAGAAATGTCACTTTCAAAAAGGGGAAGTTCCTCTTTAAATTATCCTTAGGGCACTCCATCGGTTTAGCCATAGATTTCCTTTAATGCACAGATAATTATTACCCAACGTTGAAAGCAAATAGCTGGATTGCTCATGGTTTTTATATGTCATCAGGCACAGTACTCTAATTCTTCTACACGGCCGCCTCCCTCTCTCATTCATTCCTAGTCACCAGTCCAAATCATTTAAGTTTCATCCAATTTGATATCCGATATATTTGGCATAAACCTCCTTTTTCTGTGAGTCTGCCCTTTCCTCCTTGGAAAGGCTAGTATTTCACATACATACTCATTATTAGTCTCACTCATTTCTTTCGTCCCGTGTTTACTTTGGCATCTAGGTATGAATGCTTGCTAATTTTTAAGCCAATCTTTTATTTTTTTATTATTTTATTTTAACCCAACCTCGTAATAACTCCTTTCAAAAAGGTGCAGGCATATTGTTTTCTTATTAAAGAAATACGTTCATTAAAGTGGAACTGACACGGCCCCGACAATGACACTTCCTCATTTCCTAATCTAAATAAATGTTATTGAAGTGTTCACTGGAATGAGTGCGGAGGAGGTAAGTTTAAAACATACCTACCTCCATAGCTCTTCCATGTCTAAGGCACTATGGCATTAGGAATACAAACTATTGTACTTAGAAACATAGAATGTGACGGCAGATAAGAACCATTCGGCCCATCTAGTCTGCCCAATTTTCGAAATACTTTCATTAGTCCCTAGTCTTATCTTATAGTTAGGATAGCCTTATGCCTATCCCACGCATGCTTAAACTCCTTTACTGTGTTAACCTCTACCACTTCAGCTGGAAGGCTATTCCATGCATCCACTACCCTCTCAGTAAAGTAATACTTCCTGATATTATTTTTAAACCTTTGTCCCTCTAATTTAAGACTATGTCCTCTTGTTGTGGTAGTTTTTCTTCTTTTAAATATAGTCTCCTCCTTTACTGTGTTGATTCCCTTTATATATTTAAATGTTTCTATCATATCCCCCCTGTCTCGTCTTTCCTCCAAGCTATACATGTTAAGATCCTTTAACCTTTCCTGGTAAGTTTTATCCCGCAATCCATGAACCAGTTTAGTAGCCCTTCTCTGAACCCTCTCTAAGGTATCAATATCCTTCTGAAGATACGGTCTCCAGTACTGTGTACAATACTCCAAGTGAGGTCTTACCAGTGTTCTGTACAATGGCATGAGCACTTCCCTCTTTCTACTGCTAATACCTCTCCCTATACAACCAAGCATTCTGCTAGCATTTCCTGCTGCTCTATTACATTGTCTGCCTACCTTTAAGTCATCAGAAATAATCACCCCTAAATCCCTTTCCTCATATGTTGAGGTTAGGACTCTATCAAATATTCTGTACTCTGCCCTTGGGTTTTTACGTCCAAGATGCATTATCTTGCACTTATCCACATTAAATGTCAGTTGCCACAATTCTGACCATTTTTCTAGTTTACCTAAATCATTTGTCATTTGGCTTATCCCTCCTGGAACATCAACCCTGTTACATATCTTAGTATCATCAGCAAAAGACATACCTTACCATCAAGACCTTCTGCAATATCACTAATAAAAATATTAAAGAGAATGGGTCCAAGTACAGATACCTGAGGTACCCCACTGGTGACAAGTCCAAGCTTTGAATATATTCCATTAACTACAACCCTCTGTTGCCTGTCACTCAGCCACTGCCTTACCAATTCAACAATATTTGAATCCAAACTTTTAATACCTCACTGTACTATCATTCCTGCACACACTTCCAAAGGGAAGCAATGGGAGACTAGTGCGCATGTATGGCAAATTGCCACACTGCGCCAGTCCGCATCTTTTCATGTAGATTCATTGATTCAGTGCATCTCAGTGGAGAATGTCAGTCCTGCAACCTGTGCAGGTCCGAAGTCCCTCTAGTGTCTGTCTGAGTGACCCAACTCAGGAAGTCCCTCTAGGGTCTGTCCGAGTAACCCAACCCAAAAAGTCTCTCTAGTGTCTGAGTGACTGAATCCAGGAAGTCCCTCTAGTGTCTGTCCGAGTGACTGAACCCAGGAAATCCCTCTAGTGTCTGTCCGAGTGACCCAACCCAGGAAGTCCCTCTAGTGTCTGTCTGAGTGACCCTACCCAAAAAGTCTCTGTAGTGTCTGTTTGAGAGACCGAACCCAGGAAGTCCCTCTAGTGTCTGTCCGAGTGACCCAAACCAAAAGGTCTCTCTAGTGTCTGTCCGAGTGACTGGACCCAGGAAGTCCCTCTAGTATCTGTCTGAGTGACAGCCACTAGAGGTGTTTATATGGGGCAGTTTAAACACTGCCTTTTCTCAGAAAAAAACGTTTACAGTGCAGATCCTGCAGGCCAAGGCTATGTGTCCCAGAAGCACTACATTAGGCTGCAGTGGTTCTGGTATTATAGTGTCCAGTTAACAGAACAACTTCAGTGAACAAACAGAAACATACAATATTTCTTTACATTTACTATGTCTTTGCCAACTTTAACTGATAGAAAAAATACAATTGTAAAAAATACAATTGTAAAGGTTTAGGTCAATGTTTGGACACCATTGTAGTTCATCCACCAGTAATTTCTTTGCATTGACTCAGAAACTTAATTGTCTTCTTTCATTTATCAGTCCTTGATCCTAGTCTAGTGGTGTTCGATCCAGATCTTAATAAATTCTATGAGACTCTTGGAACCTCTCAGGTTCTTACTCAGTCTACCATGGGCTCCACTAAGTAGCTGATGAAATAAGGATAATTGTTTCTTACAAAGCAGAGAAGGTTATGAAAAGATATTTAAAATGCTTCCTGCTTGCAGTTTCCACAGTTTGCAACACCATTAAGAAATTGAAGTTAAGAGGAACTGCTGAATTCAAAAACCTAGAAAAAGACTTCATGGAAGAAAAGATGAATGTTCTGGAACGGCCTCCACAGTCCATATTATTGAAAATCTCTTGGTTGACATGCAGTGCCTTCAGAGACAATCTTAGACTTTTTCTAAACTAGAAGAATTCTACATGGAAGAGTGGCCAAAATTCCTAAATCAAGAATAGGAATACTGTTAGGTGGCTACAAGAAGCGTTTGAAGGTTGTATTTAATACATACTGATTGACAGGGTGTTCGAACCTTTGATTGAAATGAAGACAAACAAAAAAGTAAATGTGACATGTTCAGTCACATTTGGCAAAGATTTAATAACAGTGCAATCAGGAATAGTAACCTTTTTCTGCTTAGATAATCGACAAAACATGTTATTTTGTGTCAGTGCCCACAAGTTTGCATGCAAATAGATGTATTCGCAGGCTTTTCTTCTAAAATGGCATTACGTGTTCTCGTAACAACTCAGTGCGCTCATACAGACTTCAATAAATTACATTTACAAAACTCCTGGCATATAGTCATAGGCGTGCGCAGCCTATTGCATTAGGGTGTGCACCCTAAAGCACATGCACACGCCGCGTATATATGTATGTATGTATGTATGTATGTATATATATATATACACACACATATATACACACACACATACACTGCTGTGTGTGTGCTCTGTGAGGGTGCTGTTAGTGTGCTGTGTGTGAGGGTGCTGGTAGTGTACTATGTGGGTGAGGGTGTTTGTGTGTATGCGCTTGTGAGGGTGCTGTTAATGTACTGTGTGTGAGGGTACTGGTAGTGTGCTGTGTGTGTTTGTTAGAGTCCTGTTTGTGTTTGTGAGGGTACTGTTAGTGTGCTGTGTGTGTGTGGGTGCTGTATGTGTGTGTAGGTGCTGTGTAGGTCTGTGGGTGCTGTGTGTGTGTGTGGGTGCTGTGTATGTCTGTGGGTGCTGTATGTGTGTGTGGGTGCTGTGTATGCCTGTGGGTGCTGTGTATGTGTGTGGGTGCTGTGTATGTCTGTGGGTGCTGTGTGTGTGATTGTGGGGGGTGGAGAAGGGGGTACATTACTTAATATCCCCCCTCCCTTCTTACTTTATGTAGGGAGGGGGGATTCTTGTTCCTTGCTGCCTTCCCTGGTGGTCCAGTAGAGGTGGGGGCAGATTACTTAATATTCCCCCTCCCTTATTACCTTATGTAGGGAAGGGGGATCCTTCCTTGCTGCCTTCCCTGGTGGTCCAGTGGTGCGGCAATGCTCAGATCTCTCGAGAGGAACCCGGCGGAGCTGCTGGCAATAGCTCCTCGGGTCCTCTCCTGCCTCCCTCCCTGCATGTGGGTCGGTGGGGAGAGAGGCTGAGAGCAGAGCCGGCGCTCGGATAGTGCCGGCTCTGCATGAGCCGACAGGGGGGATCCTGAGATTTCCCCAGCCGGTCTCACTCCATAGGCGTGCCGCGGGGATTAGGGTGTGCCCAGGCACACCCGGCACACCCCATGCGCACGCCTATGCATATAGTGAACTATCACGTATAGAAAAAACAACTTTAAAACTTAGGCCAAAATATACAATATGGAAAAGAATCTCTAACCAGCTGTTGCAGGAATTTGGTTTCCAAATCAGTTTTTAGTAAATAATGAGCTGTGTGCGCTCTTGTAGAGTTTGAGGTAGCATGCTAATACAGAAGAACTGACTGCAGCTTGTCCTTCCTCCCAGCTACAGTAAGAGTGAGTTCATGGCTGGGTCACACAGCTGACGTACAGATAGAAAGGCAGACCTGATACAGAAACACACCGCGTCAATGCCACAGACTTTATAGACAATCTTTTCATATACATGATGCTCTTGTACAATGAAGCAAATTACCACAGCCGTGGGAGTACTTGTACACTGAGGAATATTACTGATAAATTAATAGAATGCATGAAGTGTACTTGTCACAAAACCACTTGAAATTGTTATGTTTTCAAGGCTGACTAAGTTGTTTATGAAATATTTGTTCACCAAGTTTACTTGCTGATCATTAAAATACAATTTAAAGATAGGGTTTACAGGCACACAGAGGCCATTAAATGTGTACAGTCCTTGGCATACGCATAAACCCTCCATAACACAAAAACACTCTCCATCACACAAAATATCTCTAGTATACACACAGACACCCTCCATCACACACAGAAACCCTCCATCACACACAGAGACACTCTCCATCACACACAGAATCTTTACATTAAACACACAGACACCCTCCGTCACACACAGATCCCCTCAATCACACCAACCCATCATCACACAGACAACATCCATCACACACACAGACAGTCTATATCAGAGACAGACACTCTTCATCTCTAAGACAACCTCCATCACACACTGAAACTTTCCATCTCACACTTCATCTCACAAATCTCACAGCCACCCACAATTACACAAACAGACACCATTCATAACACAAATCAACACCCTCCATCTCACACAGGCATCACCCATTTCACACACAGACACCCTCCTTAACACACACCGACACCCTTAATCTCACAAATAAAAACACTCCATCACCATACAGGCACCATCCATCTCACACACCCTCCATCACACCCACAATCACCATCGCTCACACACAGACACTCTCTATCTCACAAATTTGCATCCTCTATCATACATAAAAACACACACTCCATCACACCGACAGACTGCTTCCATCACACATAGGTACACTCCATCACACAGATACATACCATTATGCACAGACACTCCCACCACACACACAAACCCTCCATCAAGCGCTACGGAATCTGTTGGCGCTATATAAATGGCAATAATAATAATAATAATACACATTAGTTCCTAACGGTGATCATAGGTGAAATGAGCATGTTCAAAGGGAACCTTATATAGGGCACTGGTATGTGTTGCAATGCATTGGAAACCAAGCCTTTTTCTTTGCATAACCACAAGTTTCAAAATGGTAGCCACTAAGTGGTAGATGGTATCAGTGGAAGTGGACACGAATAACATGCATGAGTGTATCACAGGAACATGTCAGCAAAATGGAATGTAATAGTTAAGAGGCTGAGGGTACTTTTAGTGATAATTACAACTCCATCAACAACAGGAAATTGGAACTAAAACATAAATTGAAAATTGTTTGAAAATTACAAGAAACAGACAATTTTAATGTAGAGCTATCCTTGTAAGCCAGTTCTGGCAGAAAGAACCTGTGTACAGCATTGCATATTCACACATTAACTGACAGAATATAACCTTCTTGATGTCTGTATACAGCACTGTATGTATCATGGTAAAAATGTCAAATTCTAAACATAACACCACAAAACTGCACCAAAGAGGGTGCGGCCTGCACAGGAAGGAACTGCGAAGATGTGGGATGGAGGTGCGTCAGGATAATAACACAAAGTGTGCAACAACATTGAAGGTTACATTGTTACTACAAGTGATGAGTTGCACCGCATCACTAATGGGCAACGAAGGAGTTAAGATACAGAAGGTTTCGCAGTTGGTTCATTAAAGATGTCCACAGGCCACAGCATGAATGTGAAAAGCTGACAGTTCATCTTATGTATGGAGTACAGTTCTATAGAAGTGCTAATCAATCAAACCATGTATTTACATATCCTGTCCATGGTATCCAGTGATAGAACAGAGCATGAGGCAACACACAAGTGATGTATTACCTGTGCAAACTCAAACAGCAGATAGAAAGCAATGCCAGCTGGTATTCTCAAGTGCCATTGACATGCCAAGATTTCCGGGCAGTACACACTATATTAGATCCTTGAGACCTGAGTGTGTGCTACACAAAGGAAGTAGACATCTTTGAATGTTTGCAGATATATCAGGAAAGACACAATGTTTCTTAAGAGCTTTAAACAGTTACTAACAAATCATAATGGGCTTTACTCACCGAACAGCGATTTCTGGTGAATCGACAATCAAATTGGAAAGTTAAGTGGAAACAGCCAAGATTTGACTAAAACAGAGATATGGTCGAATATTTTAAATTTACTAAACTCTTAATTTTGTTTCTTTGAAACAATTAGGAAATGTATTGTTATTTGCTATTTATAAAGCACTAACCTATTCAGTGTAGCTTGTAGAATGAGGATAGTCCATTGTCTAGTCTCAGAAATAAAAGACGAAATAAAACAGAATTCAGAAATAAAAGACGAAAACACTACATGTGAAACAAGAGGTGGAATAGCGCTAAGTTATTGGTAGGGAAGGCAGCACACATAAATGGGTAAGTCTCTTCTAAAAACCCAAAGGAACAAACAATAATCCAGAACAATAGGGTGACCCAGTGGGTTAGGGATCAAGGTATTTCTAAATAAGACAAATGAAAAAAAACAGATTATACACTGTCCATAAGGCGATATAAAATAGTATATATATAAAAAAGGACAAGCCAAAAGTCCAGGGTGAAATATAAGAGTGTGAGTAAGTTTATAAAGGTTTGCCTGTATCTTCAGGTAAATATGCATGCGATAGAGCTAAAACCAGCTCGTGTGAAGCGCTTGCAGTGGATTTATTCCCCCACTTTAGGGATATGGTGGAAGGTATCGACCAGCAGGTTATATGTGAAAATAAAAGCAAGGGGTGCAAAGATAGTGCTCTCTGTATAAATATATATATAACCAGGAGTAAAAATATATATAACCAGGAGTAAAAATAAATGAATAGTACTCACATTTATCTGAGCAGATAACACGCTCAGTATAATCCGCATAGGTGGTATAATCCCCACCAGGGATACTCGGTGAGGTCCTCACTGGGAAGATAAAAAAAGATAATTGAAAAGTACACCACAGTTTCTTTACTCTTAGGAGAAATTCTGTATACAACCTTCAGGACCCAGAAAACTGTTGTGAAGGCAATCAGTAAAACACAGGAAAAACTGTGTTCTTTCACGCTATGCGTTTCGTCTATAATAGACTTCCTCAGAGGTATTCAACATGTGACACAGTAAAACAAACACAGGAAAAACGGTGTTCTTTCACGCTATGCGTTTCGTCTCTAAATAGACTTCCTCAGGGGTATTCAGCAGGGGTTATCACATGCTATGGACCGGCGGGGGTTATCCCGGTACCCACCGACCCACAGTAACTGGCTATTTTGCCTCTTACCGCTCACCAAGATGTCGGCCCGAAACGCTCTAAGCCTAACAAAATGGCGGACATACCCCGGTCGTTAATGCCCACACCTCAGCAGCTGAGAAGCAACTATATGGAAACTGCACTATGATGCCTGGACAAGATATTTTAATGTTTTTGGAAGAAACTGCACCGGCAACTGGCACAACTTCCACTACCACCTACCAAGGTGAATGGGGCAACCCGCCATGGGTGCTCCACGCATCCACCCCACAGCTGCTCTGGCAAACAACCAA